CCTGGGCCACGCCAGGCACCACTGTGACTGTGGAATCCTGGGCTCCCCTCTCATCCAGCCCTGGCTGTTCATTTGGCAGCAGCTGGGTAACCTGTGCCCACTCGCTGCTAGGTGTAGAGAGTGGGTTCCTCACATCCATTCAATACCTGACTCTTTCTTTTCTACTTCTTCCAATTTTAGAATCAGTGAAGAATTTCTCACATTCTACAGGACCAGAGCCTGCTGAGCGAAGGTAAGTGTCCCCTCCCAGAGAATTACTTTTTAACAACTAATTAGTTTTTTAACGCAGGCAGCTCTGTGGCTCGGCAGCATTTAAATCCTGAGTATTTTAATCCTATTACCACACACCTTTCTTCTACCCAAACTCAGTTTCTGGCAGTCAACTAAGAGTCTCGTCTTTTGGATGTTTATTGCAGCCTGGTATGGAGTGAGTGGAGGGAACAGACTCCCCTATACCCTGGAGGGGCATCTCTTGGTGGTGGATCAGAAAAATAAGTGCCCCAGATTCTGATCCCAGCCGGCAGCTCTTCTCATGCCCTCTGGCATCCTGTCCTGCCGGCTGCTGTGTCTTCCTGGTAAATCACTTGTGCTGTGGTCACAGCAGTTGCTGCCTTGGCAGGGATGAAGGTGAGATTTTCCTCAAATTTAAATTACTTGAAACTTGTGCTTGTGCACAACCCAGACAAAATTAAGGCAGTTGTACACACAACTAGCATAAGAATGGAGAGAAGGAGCTAAGATGTTGGATTCTGGTTCAATGATAAAAATCTGCCGGGAGGGGAAACAAGTGTAAGTGCACATTGTAATGGAGTAGAAACTATTATGAGTGGAACAGTCTGCACATTTTACAGTAAAAATAATACACTGACAATAAATATGGTCAATTCCTCCTGTTAATATGCAATTATTAGTGCTGGGCATTCTTCATTTAATTAGGATGAGGGAAATGTTATTTTATTAAGCTTCCTTTAGGAGTGCAAAGTTACTGCTGTAATTTCTGACCAGGTACATCCACATATGCCTCTTCAACCAGCATTGTTTGTGTGTATCTTTAAGAGTCTGCTCTGAGAGTCTCTCAGCCTCTCAGTCTCTGGTTTGGCAGGTGTGGTCCATCCTGATTCATCCCCAACATCAAAAGCCAGGGGGAAATATGAGGATGTTAGAGTCTGCTGAAAAACATCCAGTTCTCACTTGTTGTCTATACTATAGAGTAATTCTTTTTAAAAAAATATTTTATTTATTTTTAGAGAGAGGGGAAGGAAAGCAGAAAGAAAGGGAGAGAAATATCAGTGTGTGGTTGCCTCTCATGCATCCCCTACTGGGGACTTGGTCTACAGCCCGGGCACTGACTGGGAATTGAACCAGCCACCCTTTGATTCATAGCCCGGGCTCAGTCCACTGAGCTGCACCAGCCAGGGTTACTACAGAGTAATTCTTAAATGCCTTAGTATTGCATACAAAAGTCTCCATGATGTAGCCATTGACACAGTTTATAGTCCCTTCCTCCCTCTCTCTCTCTCTCTTTGTCCCTTTTCACTCTTTCATTCATTCATACTTTGCCCACTCACACAGCAACCAGGCCATACTAAGTTGCTTCCAGAAAATGCGAGGCTGTTTCCTAGCTCTATTCATGTGCCTACAATGCCTTGCTCTCCAATTTATTTATATTTCAAGACTCAGTCCAACGATTGTCTCATCTCTGGTACATTTACCAAGCATTTCTATATGTTTATTTCTGTTTTGCTCGTCTGATGGACTACATATCTGTTACATGTATTAGGGTGGCCCAAAAGTTCTTTTTGTCTTTTCTGTACAATTGCTCTAGTAGTGCTTAGTTGTCTTCAATTTCATCCAAATGAATTTTCTTAGATTGTATTGTGACAGCTATCATATCAGTGTGCATTTTTAAAAAATGTATCAAAATTGGTGAATTTCTGTGCAGCAATTTTGATATTGGAGATGGAAGAAGGTATGTGACATTTTTGGTGTATTATACTTTATTATTTGAAGAAAGGTAAAAGTGCAACTGAAATGCAAAAAAAGATTTGTGCAGTGTATGGAGAAGGTGCTGTGACTGATCAAATATGTCAAAAGTGGTTTGCAAAGTGTCTTGGTGCTATTTGGCCAAATAATTCTTTGCTGTGGGGCTGTCTTAGGCACTAGCAGCACCTTTGGCCTCTACCCACTATAAGCCAGTAGCAGGAGATAGCTGACACACTCAAAATATCCAAAACAGTAACAGTATTGGTGAAAATGTGTCTTTTATTTTATGGAAAATAACTAAGTGGATTTTTTTGCCAATTGAACATTTTATATATATAATATATATTCTATATATATTTATACAAACATATATATTTATGTATTTATATAAAGACATATATTTATATGGAGATATATTTTATAAATCTATAATTAAATTAAATATTGTATAAATATATTAATATATGATTAAATAAATATAATGAATATGCAATAAATTATATTATATAAATAACTGTGGATATAAATATAGAAATAAATTACATTATATAAATATATAATATATAATTAAAGTATACTATATTATATGGATAACTATATCTATATATTTATATATTAAAATATATTTAAAATGTGTATTTATAAATATGCATTGCATATATTTATATAATATATGCATATAATATATAACATATAATAAACATAAGTTATATAGATATATGAATAAATATATATTTATAACTATATACACATATGTAAATATACATAAATATATATATGATCCCAAGTTAATTTGGGATTATCTATAATAGCATGTGCCCAGAATGAAATAAATATATATAAATATATATAATCCCAAGTTGACTTGGGATCATCCATAATAGCCTGTGCCTAAGATGACATTTCAATAGGATTAGATACTATTTCCTAAAATAGTCAGAAATTTTAAATGTATGAAAGGGGGGTGAGACCCAAGCCTGGCACCCGTCACTTCCGTGTGGCATCCTGGTAGTTAAGGGTACACTTGCCCAGAAAGACAGCTCTCAGCTTTGCTGTAATTCTGACCTCACTACTCTCCCACTTAGAAATGCAGTCAAAATCACAGTGTCTTCTCTGAAATTGGGGCAATGATTCCTCATTAGTAGTGTTGTGTGGATTTAATGGGATATTGCATGAAAGGTGCTTGGCAAACTTCCCAGCCCTGAGTAAGTACACGATACAGTAATATTGGACAATTTTCTGGACTGATTGATTAGGCTTCATGTCAAAACTAATTGAACCGCAACCCTACCAAATTCTTGCCCTTTGCCATGTCCTCAACTATAAGGGAAATGCCTGGAAACCTCCCAAGTTTTCTCCATCTCAGCACATGGCATCATATCTGTGTCATAAGCACATATATGAGATTCCTGTTTGATTTCTGTTTTTCCTTTACCCCCATATTCCACCCATAGATCACTGTGAGAGATTCTCCTAAGACACACCTTAAATCCACCCACATCTCTGAAACCACGCTGGTGGTCAGGGTTACTGTCACCTCCTCTGATTGGCCTCCAGCCAGTCTCATGACCTCCCCCTCTTGCTTCCACAGAGTCTTTTGTGATGACAGAGTTGTCTGTCCAGAGCGTGAATCATACCTTGCCCCTTTTCAGCTTCCATCCCTCACTTGCCTCACATTGTATGAAAACCGTTTCCAGATTCCTCATTACAACCCAGGGTGCTGTGCACTTGCTGGTGGGGACCCATCAAACTGTGCCTCTCAGCCCAGCCTGGCTGGGCTCTTGCAAGGGCCAGGAACCTGGTACCTTCCGCCCAATGCCACTGCCTCATTGGTCGGAGGCCTCTGCTGATCACATTAGTGTCATTTTCTGTTTTTCAACCTTCATAGCAAATGTCTCAAATTTCATTATGTATTTCTGTCTTTGTTTGCTTATTCTTTAAAAATCTCCACCCAGTGTCTCTGACCCTGTGCACCAGGACTAAAACTTCCTGAGGGGAAGCCCCTATTTCTCTTGCTCACTGCTCCACTGGGTGCCCAGTATTATTCTCTTCCTTCTTCCAGTCCAAACCTAGCTTCTTAATGCCTGTGTTTGGGTACGAGTCCCTTTCACTCTGATTGTTAATTATCATTCATACAATATAAAATTTCATTTACACGATTTCACTTGGGTTCAATACACAATGACATAAGCTGAATGAATATTACTATTTCTATTTACAGAAGAGGAAATGGGATTTCAGAGAGAACCATGTTTCAAAGTCACATGGGCTGGGGCAGAAGTAGGCTTACAGTTATGAGTACACGAAATGGTTTGTTCTCATATGGTTGTTTATTAATTGTTATATTATTTTCTATGCAAACAGTGGTAAATCTGACTTGCCCCAGCCTGTGTGGCAGATGAGGGGCAGATGTGGCGCAGATGAGGCGCAGACGTGGCCCAGATGCTCCATGCACCCCTTGCAGACGTGGAGAGCTGCAGTCTCTTTCCCGCAGACAGAGAGGGAAAAGGGGGGCTAGTCGGTGAGGGGTAATGGGTTGGAAGGTAGACCTTGCAGAGCTCTGGGTAGATAATAAGCAAGGACATTCAGGTATGTTCTTTGGGACTGGTGATGGGAACATAGACATGGAGGCCTGGTAGTGTTTAATGTGGTTGTGAAGGACAATGTAGGACATTAGGCAGAACATGGACTTTTGACTTAGGCGTGAATGTAATTTCTGCCCTGCTACCAGTGGGAACTCCATAAGTTACTTAATACGTACCGCTCTAAGACTCTGTGCCTTTGTCACTGGAGTGGGTATAATAACATATGCAAAGAGGCTATGTGAGACAGAATTAAATTGCATTAGGTACATAACATACCCAGTGTATGGTGTAGCTTATAATATATTTTCACTAAATGATACCTTTTATGGTCATGGCTAGTCAGAAAAGACAAAGGATGGAAGATTCTAACTGGACCATGGCATCTGACTGTGTGATTTCTCCCCCAGCAGAGCTAAGCCCTGTGTCTCCAACATGGAAGTGCAGAACCAGACACGGGTCACCCAGTTCATTCTAGTAGGGTTCCCAGGGAACTGGGGCACACGGGTAGCCATGTTCCTGATGTTCCTCGTGGCCTATATTTTGACAGTGGCTGAAAACACCATCATTATCCTGCTGGTGCAGCAAAACCGGCCACTGCACAAGCCTATGTACTTCTTTCTGGCCAACCTGTCCTTCCTGGAGACCTGGTACATCTCCGTGACTGTACCCAAGTTGCTGTTTAGTTTCTGGTCTGTGCGCAACAGCATCTCCTTCATGCACTGCATGATACAGCTTTACTTTTTTATCGCGCTCATGTGCACAGAGTGTGTGCTTCTGGCTGCCATGGCCTATGACCGCTACGTGGCCATCTGCCGCCCGCTGCACTACCACACCGCTATGAGCCATGGGCTCTGCTTCCGCCTGGCTCTTGCCTCCTGGGCCATAGGCTTTGGCATCTCCTTGGCTAAGATCTACTTCATCTCTCGCCTCAACTTCTGCGGCCCCAACGTCATCAATCACTTCTTCTGTGACATCTCTCCCGTGCTTAACCTCTCCTGCACTGACATGTCCCTGGCTGAGTTGGTGGACTTCATCCTGGCTTTGGTCATCTTCCTCTTCCCCTTGTCTGTCACTGTCCTGTCTTATGGCTGCATCCTGGCCACCGTTCTGCGCATGCCCACGGGAAAGCAGAAAGCCTTCTCTACATGCGCCTCCCACCTCGTGGTAGTCACTGTCTTCTACTCAGCCACGATTTTCATGTACGCCCGGCCCCGAGCCATCCATGCCTTCAACATGAACAAAGTTATTTCCATCTTCTATGCCATTGTCACCCCTGCTCTCAACCCTTTCATTTATTGCCTAAGGAACCGAGAGGTCAAGGAGGCTCTGAAGAAACTGGTCTACTGCCCGGCCATCTGCTCTGAGTCATCTGTTACAAATGGCTAGAAGGAAAGACAGTTTGGTTTGTGGCCTGCCCTTCCATCCTCGGTCCTTTCTCCTTTAATGACTTGGCTGGGTGGGGCTCCTGTGAACAGGGCGTCTCCACATCCACACCAACCACAGGCTCTTGCTCATCTCCTGAGCCTGCCTCTGAGCATGTGTCCTGTGCTCTGTGGAAACAGTCCTTGTGTAGAGAAGTCTCTTTGGCTGGGACCCAAAAATGAGGTTGCTAGGCTGTGAGTAAATACTAAGCTGAGTTAGGCAGGGAGAGAGGTGGCAGCCTATGGGTTATCTTTTTGGGGGGATGTAGCATGTATTAAAGGCTTCAAGACTCACAGACTGGGGCTGGCTTCCTGAGCTCCTGGAAGCTTCCTGACCAAAACTGGGGGAGTGGCTGGATGGTGAGCTGGGGGTTGGGCTCAGTGGCAGAGAGTGTAGACTGCTCCACGAGGCCTTCTACCATGTTTTGTCAGCACCTGGTTCTCTGTATTGGACACCTTCCTGCTTCCAATGGCGATGATGCCTTCTCTTATCTGTACGTGATGTGTACCTTATACAATTGCACCCTGTCTTCTGACAGAACTGATACAGTTGCTTTGTATTTGACTTCCACCTTTCCCTTCTAGATGTCACAACAGGTTTGTTGGTATCCTCTAGTGGATGAGCACAAGATAGATGATGAATAAAATCATCAAATGTACTGTGTGCTGAATGAAACTTGCCCTCCTCGGTCATCTTGCTTCTGAACTCGGTGTTCTCATTCCTTGTCAGTTTTCTTTCCCTTCGCCAGCCTCCCCTCTCTCACCATGTACAGCACACACAAGCAATGAGGTCATTTCGGATTTGACAGATTTTTATCCTATGCCACTGTGACTCTCGATTCTCCTCCTTGTTCATCTGACACCCTCCTGCACACACTAGTCCTTTCTGATCATAGGTGCCCACACACTCCCAGAAGGGTGCACAGATATGCCTATGCTCTCCTGGTTCATACTTTTGCCAGTGGCCAAGGGAGCTGTGCTTTTTACTTTATCCCCTATAACAAGCCCTTGTCGGTGGGATTATAAATCTCTCATTAGAACAGTTTGAAATAAGACGGCATTTGGCATTTGCAACTTTTTTTTTTAGCTAAGAACAAATAATACTTTCAAAAATATTTTCTCTTTCTTTTGGAGTAAGAATCATTTGGTGGGATTCTTTGGTACATGTTACAAACTTCCAGCACAGAAGCTTAGGGAAGTTCACAATGTCCAAACACAGGCAGTAGGGAGCAGTGTCGAAAGCCTAGGTGTGCTGACTCTGAGCCCACATCGTCTCTTAGCTCATGGATCTCCTTAGAGAGCAAACATGCTTCTTCCACAAGCTGAGTGTGGAAACTAACTGTGCAAGGGCTGTGGCTGGAGTCCTCCATGACTGCATCTGGAGAACTGTTGACAAAATAAACATGGACAAATGTGAAGTACAGTCCTCAGGGAAGAAAAGAAACAAAGGTAAAATGCAAGCCTGCCTCACTTTATAGAATAAATATTTAAAAAGGTTATGAATATATTACCATTTAAAACCTACACATATAAAGAAAAGCGATTGTTTTTTGAGAAAATTCATATGAATCAAAACAGAATAGCAAAGCCATATAAACCTATGCAATGTGTGCATAGAATGCAGGCAAGTCATCTTCAGCAGGAATAAGGCCTAAAAGCAACCAACTGGTTGTTGACAATCTGAGTCTCAGTCCCAGATATATTTTTATCATGTGGCCTGGGACAAACCATGTCAATATGCTGAAACACTGATTCATCTTAAGCAAAATGGGAATAAAAGTTCGTGCTCTGCCTCCCTCACACAATGGTTGTCTGGACCAACTGATGTGATGCAAAACACCTTGATTGTCTCTGAGACCCGGGCTAATGCAAGGTTGAAGCAGGGTGAACCTCAGTGCCTGTTTGGGGGAGCCAGCTGGGAAGGGTCCCAGGTCTGTCTGCAACCAGCCCACACTGACTGAGCTCCACAGAGATAACCCGGGAGACTCCACGTATAGGGGCTGTTTGTCTCTTGATTCTTTCCCATAAGTGTCTAGGTGAGGGAGTATGTGGAGGTAATATTTCTCCATAAGTTATAGTGAATTGTGTTCAAAGAGCAGAAGGGAATCATCTTGGCCTCTGTGAGAGGAATGCCTACACCATGGGCTAAAGCAGAGGGCACAGGTCAAACCCTTGTGGGATTCCCTGTGGGAATCTGCGGAGAGGAGACTGGAGACACTGTGATGGGTACACACACACAGAAGAGGGCTCCTTGTCAGGCGAGGGGTTTGGAGCCAGGGCAGAGGTTTGGAGCCAGCCTCGTTGGGGTTAATTAGGCATGATATAGGTTCTGGTAGTCAGTTTTAGCAGACTATTCAGAGAGTAAGCCTTCCAGATTTAGTTATCACCAAACTAAAAGAAGCTAATAAAATAAAATAAAAATATATTAATTACACACATAGTATGTTTTTTGAGTGACCATATTAACCAATTCATGCAGCTAATATTTATTGAGTATGTGGTACACACTGGCCACCATTTTCAGTGGTAGGGAGATGTTAATAACACAACTCAAAGACTTGTCACCCTCATAGGTAGGAACAGATAGAAGAGAATGTATTTGTACATATATACATACATGCTTAATGTGGTGGGCTGCACGGTGGCTCCCAAAAGGCTGTGTCTACATCCTCCACTTGGAACTTGTGGTTGTGAACTTATTTGAAATGTGATTGAGTTAATGATCTTGAAATGAGGCTGTCTTGGATGATCTCAGTGGGCATTAAATCCAATGACAAGTTCCTTAGGAGTGAGACAAGGGGGGCATTGGGAAGATGCTCTGATTTCGTAGCCTAGTTAGGGAAGTTGAACCAAAGCGATATGGCTTACTGGACTGTAAGAAGTTCACCAGGCCTATACAAAACTCAGGTATCTTACTTGGTACTCCTTTCCTGACTGACTATATAAATTTCTGTTCCTGACTGATGTTGGAGCAATCTCTTCTGTTTTCCTGCTGTTTCTCTTCCTAGCAGGTTGAATATTGGCACGTGTTCATTCTTTATTTGTCAGAGACTAGACAGGGCAGTGGGCGGAGCAGGAAGGGCAGTGAGTGGAGTGGGGCAGGTGTTGCCGAAGCACTGTGCATAAGGTGGTGAAGGCTCCTTGCTGGGGTGTGCTTACTAACAGTGGGTGGTCACACAGAGCCTGGGGGACAGGAGGCAGCTGGACCGTGACAGTGCAGTGACTGACAGCACAGGCTCTGGGGCTGAGTACAGGGGCCAAGTTTAACCTTTCTGTGCCTCAGTTTCCCCATATGTAAAACGAGGCTAGTAAGTGTACCTATCCCACTGCATTGTTTTGAAGATTAGATAAGTAAATACAGGTAAACTACTTAGATTATTGCTTAGAAAAATTTTGAATTTCATCTCTGTCTATATTTTAAATACTATAGCATAAAAGATCACTTTGAAAAGCCACCCTACTCTTACTTAGCTCCTGTGGGCAGCACAGCTCACTGAATATGAAGATCAGATGGGCTCTTATGAGAACAGCTACTGTATTTGTTGATCCCTCACCCAGTGCTGTGCACTACACATGGGTAGCACTTAACATGCCATGTCTCATCCAGCCATCCTAACCAGTCCAGGAAGAATGTTCCATTTTCAGTCTGTTTTATGTGTGCATGGACCAGAAAGTAGCAAACATCCGACTTTTATTGAGTCGCTTTCACTGTTGAGCCCTCTTTCTCTGTGGTCACCTACCCTTAGCAAGCACCACACATTCTCCTCTGGGTCTGCACTGTCAGTGTGGCATAGACTGGACCTCAGAGGGAAGGCCTGTGGCTCACAGTGCTGCCTGTGATTAGCTAGCACATTCCCCTCAAGGTAAGGAATCAGCAAACCTCTCTGTGCATCACGTCTAAACCTCACCTTCCTGTTAGTGTTTTCAAGTAATTCTTGTGTCTGTCCCTTAATGAACTCTCAGTATGAGTGATGTGGAGGTTGTTCTTCATTGATAAGCTTGAGACTCCAGCATCTGGTGTCCATTTTACAACTTTTCTTAACCAAATTGGAACATTTGTACTTACAATTTTTATTTTTTACTTCATAGTGGCAAATTTAGCAAAATACTTTCAGAAACAAATTGATAATACTGAAAAAAATTGGATATCCAAGCTCTGAATAACAAGATTAACAAGCTTGCTGTAATAAATATATAAAGAATCCTATCCCTGAAAAATAGAGAATATGTTACATGGAAATTAATATAAAAATTGCAAAATTGACTATATGCAAAGCAATTAAAGTTCTCAGATTTTTCAAATAATCAATATTCCAAGGATTCATTACTTTATACCACATTATTAATTAAAAATAAATAATAAAGTTAATAAAAATATTTGGAAACCTAAAAATGCACTTCTTTTTTTTTAATATTAAATTTTATTTAGTTACTTTTCAAGTACATTTTTTTTTATCTATTTCTCCCATCCCACCCCACCCCCCGCCCCATCTCCCCCTCCCACCCATTCCTCCCCCCCCAGTCCTCATCTCTGTGTCTTTCATACTTGTTCCTCAAAATCCCTCCCCCTTTTTCCCCTTAAGTTCCCTTCCCTCTCCCCTCTGGTCGCTGCCCACTTGTTCTCTATTTCGGCGTCTTTGTTTTTATTCTGTTTGCTTGTTAGTTTTATTCTTTAGCTTCCTGTCAAAGGTGAGATCATATGGTATTTGTTCTTCAATGCCTGGCCTATTTCACTCAGCATAATGCTTTCCAGTTCCATCCATGTTGTTGCAAAAGGTAGTAGCTCCTTCTTTCTCTCTGCTGCATAGAATTCCATTGTGTATATGTACCACAGTTTTTTGATCCATTCGTTTACTGATGGGCACCTAGGTTGCTTCCAACTCTTGGCTATTGTAAATTTTGCTGCTATGAACATTGTGGTGCATAGGTTCTTTGAAATTGATGTTTTAGGATTCTTGGGGTATA